CGGCCTTCCCTCCAGTCTTCTATCTGACCTCCGGCCTTCCCTCCAGTCTTCTATCTGACCTCCGGCCTTCCCTCCAGTCTTCTATCTGACCTTCGGCCTTCCCTCCAGTCTTCTATCTGACATCCGGCCTTCCCTCCAGTCTTCTATCTGACCTCTGGCCTCCCCTCTTCCTCTGATGTCACTGCACACTGAGAGCTTCCCACAATGTGCACTAGAAGTTGCAGTAAGTCAGATAGAGCCCGCCTCATCTCCTGGCTGGAAGACATCTTACATCTAGTGCTTTCCCAGTAGTACTGCATGGCTGCAGTCTGACAGCTTTCTGAATTCCATTCACTGAGTATTATGTGTGGCCCTTTGATGATGTCGGGGGCCATACCTTAGGCCTCCTACATCAAGGAAGACGACTACCACTGACATCAATGGCAGCAGACCCTTAACAGCACCTAGCGTCCTCCTCCTGCAGGTGGCAATATAAACCTTTAGGTCTACCGATAATCAGCCGTGTCCATCAATGAATGGCAAAGAAATGTATTTACAAAGGGCTATTAGTGTCTGATGGTTGGATATTTGTGTGGATGCTATAAAGAATTGGAGTTGGAAGAAGACACACACACAATCTACAAACACACACACACACACACACACACAATCTACAAACACACACACACACACACACAATCTACAAAAACACACACACACACATCTACAAACACACACACACATCTACAAACACACACACACATCTACAAACACACACACACCTCGACACTTCTAATTACAGCAGACAAACTGTCATCCATTTTCCTAGAAAATAATGACAAATAAAAGCGGATGAGCAGAAATGGGCCCCCAGGGGACACACCTGCGCAGATACACGGCCTCCTCGTCTTCCGTGTTACAGAACTTGTGAGCGTGTTTTGCTGCATCGATGACTCGGGCTCTGTCGCGAGGTCTCATGGGAAGTTTTTCCAGCTGGCAATCTGAGCAAAAAAGAAGAAACAACAAATAAAGGTCCTGACCCCTTCCGATGGAAAAGAAACATATCGCTCAGGAAGATTACCAGGAATCATTGTGTGCGAGGCAAGCTGTCCGCCATTCTGGTAAAATAAGCCCGGTGACCGCCGCAGCCTAATGACTTCCATTCCGTGTTATGAGGGGACGGAGCCGATCAAAGTCTACAAACTGATGGAATCCATCTCTGTGATATCTGCACATTGATCACATGATCTGCAGGAGCAGAAAAGTACCTCCATTGCCGTCTCCTTTCCTGACGCCGTCTTCTTCCTTTTCCAGTCCCCTTTCCTTCACTCCCAATCCCCCATCCCTTCACTTCCTATCCCCCATCCCTTCACTTCCTATCCCCCATCCCTTCACTTCCAATGGACTTTTAATGACAAGAGACAACTAATATTGTGATCACAAATGCTGTACACTGCGCCATCATTCCATTGATATGCTGAATGTACAGATTCCAGTTTCTGTTATATGTTAAAAAAAAAAGCAAACAAACAAAAAAGCAAAAAGTGTTTGTAACATATTTGTATCGCGGTCTGAAATCTGCTGATCGCCTGTACCCTCTTTGCAGCCGCTTCCTGTCTACACGCATTCTCAGAGCGGTTTCTGGAGATGTCAGCCTACTTTTGCTGCGGCCGTTGTATATTTTCCCTGAGTACGCTTCGTACTTGTATAACAGACGGCAGGAAAACGATGTTCCCAAAACCCGCCCAAGACATTTCATTAAAACGGCATTTCAGCGGAGGATCCTTATCACCTCCTCACCGCCCCGAACCACAAATTGAATCATTACAGCGGCTCAGCAGGCAGCGGATCGCGTCACGCGGAGCCTCAAATCCTATTACATCCTCAGAGGGCTCGAGTGCCGCTGTCCCCATCAGCCGAGCTGGCTTCAGAACCGTTTATCGACATCATCTGAATGTTATTATTTATTTTTATTTTTTTTTAGCATGTCAAATTTTTATTGACTGAATGTTATTATTACGGCGGACGAGAAAAGGTGATTCTTCACACGCCACAAAATTTGTGCGGAACCGTTAATGTGTCTTTCGGGGGGCACTGGTCTTGTCTCCGCCCCCTCCTGTAATAAAGACCGCTCACTGCTGTTCTCTCCTTGTGTAGGGTGACTGGTTTTCTCTCCACCCCCTCCTGTATAAAGACCGGTCACTGATGCTCTCTCTCCTTGTGCAGGGTGACTTATCTTGCCTCCGCCCTCCCCTGAAATAAAGACCAGTGACTGCTGCTCTCTCTCCTTGTGCAGGGTAACTGGTCTTGTCTCCGCCCCCTCCTTTATAAAGACCGCTCACTGCTGCTCTCTCTGCTTGTCCAGGGTGACTGGTCTCGTCTCTGCTCCCTCCTGTAATAGACTGTGGCAGTTGAAGGTACTGGTCATACTGGTACCCATCAGATGCGTAGCCAACAGAAAGGGGAACTCCACGAACAATCAATTTTTAAACTTAGACTGGATCGATGTAGCGACCTGTAAATGAGCCATATGTACGTCCTGAAGGATGCCGGGGATGCTCAAATTTTCATTTGTAATATGAAAATGTGCATGGCAGCCAATCGGATTCTACCTTCAGGGCAACTCCAGGAATGTAAAAAGGTAACCCTTGCAGTGCATGGGGGGGGTCCATTGCAAGGGTACCCCGCCCCCCATACTGCAAGGGTTAACTGCTCCTTTTTCTCTTGGGTGGGGATGAGCAACTGCATGCCTGTTAAGTCTTGCAATGCCTCATGGGACTTGTAGTTCCTCAACAGCTGGAGGAAAGGAGCTGCCCACCCCTGCTCTCGGGAGCTCAAATTATACTCACTCGGGCCCCATCCGGCTGCCAGACCGGTCTCTGCAGCCTCTTCTCCTCCGGGTCCTGCCGGTCCAAGGACCCGTGACATCACAGGTGACTAGGAGTTATTAGTGCCATTGCAAGGGTTACCTTTTTGCATACCTGGGGTTCTCCTTTAAGGTTTGAAAATGAAAGCTGGAAGCTGATTGGTTGCCATGGGCAACTGCTCCAGATTCTGCTTGCTCCAGTTTTGATAAATATCTCCCATTGAATACATCACAGAACTGCAAATGAAAATGTGTGCATCCCGGCATCCTTCCGGATCTGGCATGTGAATCATTGCAGGTAACTTCCTGTCCCTGTAACAACCATGCTCCCTTTTCATTGTAGGGTTGCCACAGATACAGGAAGTGAAAAAAATAACTACCAAATGGGGCCCCTGAACGAGATACAAATGAAATGTAATCTCTTAGCTAAAATAAACAATTATCATTTGAAGGAGATGCCATTTTCTCCCTCCTCTCGCTCAGTGTGACACTCACCCAACACCAGCACCATCTGCCCGCACAAACAGTAGTAGACATGGAGGGGTTTCTCCCCGTCATCATACTCCTCCCTGTCCCGGGTGTCGGAGCACACCACCGACCGTGACACCACCTTCGGCATGTTCACTCTTCCACTTCCTAGGCAACACACAGGACCCCCTCTGACGGCCGCCGGTGCGTCATGACGTCACCCAACGCCGCCCAACTTTATTGACACACTTTACAACTATTCACAGCAAAAGTGTATCATATTAGAAGAAGCCGAGGGCCGCCGTGTTATAGGAGCATAAAGACATCATATGGTGCTATCAGAGTCCTGTTATGATTCATGTATATTACTGTTTTCCTGCGGGAAGGAGTAATGCGCGCTCCTGGGTTGTTTACATCGGGGTAGCGCGCTCCCGATTACTACGCTGGTAGAGGAGCTCCCGGTGACGTCATAGATTAGGGGCCGCGCACAGGGTCTACCAAGTGTACATCTCAGATGGGACACAACAGTACAATACGGAACCCCTGAGAGGGGCCACAGTACAATACAGAACCCCTGAGAGGAGCCACAGTACAATACAGAACCCATGAGAGAGGCCACAGTACAGTACAGAACCCCTGAGAGGAGCCACAGTACAATACAGAACCCCTGGGAGGGGCCACAGTACAATACAGAACCCCTGAGAGGGGCCACAGTACAGAACCCCTAAGAAGTGCCACAGTACAGAACCCCTAAAAGCGCAGAACCCCTGAGAGGTGCCACAGTACAATACAGAACGCCTGAGAGGGGCCACACTGCACAGATCTCCTTCCACTGCTGGACATTTTCATCTATTATATTCATAAATTCTGCATTGGAATTGGCTTTATTCTCCCGCTAAGCAGATCCTCTTCATTCATAATTCATCAACATGAGACTAATTAGTACAGTGCAGTCCCCGACAAACCTCTGTCCTTCCCTTCAGTCTTCTATCTGACCTCCGTCCTTCCCTTCACTCTTCTACCTGACCTCCGTCCTTCCCTACACTCTTCTATCTGACCTCCTTCCTTCCCTTCAGTCTATCTGACCTCCGTCCTTCCCTTCACTCTTCTATCTGACCTCCGTCCTTCCCTTCAGTCTTCTATCTGACCTCCGTCCTTCACTCTTCTACCTGACCTCCGTCCTTCCCTTCACTCTTCTATCTGACCTCCGTCCTTCCCTTCAGTCTATCTGACCTCCGTCCTTCCCTTCAGTCTTCTATCTGACCTCCGTCCTTCCCTTCAGTCTTCTATCTGACCTCCGTCCTTCCCTTCAGACTTCTATCTGACCTCCGTCCTTCCCTTCAGTCTTCTATCTGACCTCCGTCCTCCCCTTCAGTCTTCTATCTGCCCTCCGTCCTTCCCTTCAATCTTCTATCTGACCTCCGTCCTTCCCTTCACTCTTCTGTCTGACCTCCGTCCTTCCCTTCAGTCTTCTATCTGACCTCCGTCCTCCCCTTCAGTCTTGCACAGTTGTACCGGCTCCTCTTCCTCTGATGTCACTGCACACTGGGAGCTGCTCACAATGTACATTAGAAGCTGCAGCAAGTCAGACAGAGCCCGCCTCATCTCCTGGCTGGAGGACATCCGGCATCATCTAGACTTTCCCCCCAGCCTGACAGTCCCTGGCCCCGCCCCTTTCATTAATTGTATATCAGTTCTCTCAATCATGGAGGCTCAGCATCCCATGTGGGCGATCTGCATGCAAACACAGCCTGTCTAAGAACGCCCACTCCTCCAGACTGACACCCGCCCATCAAGGCATTTTGACATTTGCATAACTCCTCCCACTGTGTGCATCAAGGCCGATGGCTCTTGAGAGGAGTCCTGAGACCGGGCCCTGTGATGTTTTCAGGAAGCTATGTACAGCACCTCCCACCAGCCACAATCTGCCTGCATTGTATACAGAAGCACAGACGGCAATGACATCACTGGGACTAAAATACAGTATATCATAAAAACCAGAAGCAATTAAAAAAATATATATAAAAGCAGATTAAACTTCAGCGTTAATGGAATATTGGAGAGGTTATTGCTCTGGGACCAGAACCGGCCGAGAAGAAGCTCTCAAACTGCAGAAATGGTCCTCAGCCTCGTTAATTGCTTATTATCGGCAATAACCGAATTAGTCTGAAGAGTAAGTGCGTCGCTTACAGACCCCAGATGCTGAATGCACGATTATAGTACAATTACTCTCCGGCCTCACCTGGCAGTAATCGTGTGTGTGGGTGAGGCCGCGTTAGACGTTGACAATGGTGAGTAGGTCATGGAAGGTCCCCAGCTGGGGCCCCTTGAAGCATGTGAAGATTGTGCTGGTTGGGGTCAAGACGAGAGCGAGGTTTGGAGACTGATGATCGCTCTGTGAGTGTATGGCATAAAACATGGCGGGTTCACCACGAGTGATGGGCCGAACAGACCCGTGTTCGGTTCAAATTCGAACTTTAGAACATGGAAAAAGTTTGAGCTCGAACTCAATGAAAGTCTATAGGACCAAAAGTTTGAAAATCAAATGTCCCCATTTTGAAGGCTTATATGGAAGTTATTGGCCATAAAAAAGTGTATGGGGATTCGGGTACTGCCCTGGGGGACATGTATGGGGATCCAGGTACTGCCCTGGGGGACATGTATGGGGATCCGGGTACCGCCCTGGGGGACATGTATGGGGGTCCGGGTACTGCCCTGGGGAACATGTATGGGTATCCGGGTACCACTCTGGGGGACATGTATGTGGATCCGGGTACTGCCCTGGGGGACATGTATGGGGATCCGGGTACTGCCCCGGGGGACATGTATGGGGATCCGGGTACTGCCCTGGGGGACATGTATGGGGATCCGGGTACTGCCCTGGGGGACATGTATGGGGATCCGGGTACTGCCCTGGGGGACATGTATGGGGATCCGGGTACTGCCCTGGGGGACATGTATGGGGATCCAGGTACTGCCCTGGGGGACATGTATGGGGGTCCGGGTACTGCCCTGGGGGGACATGAATCAATGAAAAAAACACTTTTAAAAAACACTGTTTTTAAAGGAGCAGTGATTTTACCATCACTTAAAGGGTAACAATAAGAATGAAAAATTCCTTTAAATGTCGTGCCCGGGGTGTCACCTTAACCTGCCTGTAAAGTGGCAAATCTGTCCGATGTATAGAACCTGCTGCAGCAAAACTGACATTTCTAAAGGAAAAAAATGTGTGGGGTTCCCGCCAAAAGTCATACCGGACCCTTAAGGTCTGGTTGGAATATTTAGGATGGACCCCATGTAAAAAAAAAGCACACAAAAAAAAAGTGTGGGGGGTTCCCCCTCAAAGTCATACCAGGCTCTTAAGGTCTGGTAGGAATTTTAATGAGTTACGACACCCGCCAAAAATGGGAGGAAAAAACGTGGGGTCCTCCCTAAAATTCCATACCAGACCCTTGATCCGAGCACAGGCCTGGCAGGGCCGGAAAGGGAGTAGACGAGCGAGCCCCCC